GCACAACTGCGCGTGCTCGCGGTTCTATACCATAGCATTAATCTCCATGCAGTTGATCTTAGTACATATGCGCTGTGAAATTATTGCGCAGGTTTGATCTTCAAAATTTGCAGAGGTGTTTTGATCCTGCAGAACTGATTAAAGATTTTAGTACCAATTTTCAAAGTGGTTGTGCAGTCGACGTCAACACTATCATCAAGGCATAGTTCTGCACAGCGTTTCGCGCAACTTACAAAGCAAAACAATATATGAATGATGTTAAGAAACTGATTTTGTGGATAATTTACCATGAGAAACTCTTTAGCTACCACGATACCAAAAGTGCACAAATCACAAGTGAACTTAGCGATCTTACAATTTCCTTCTTTTTCCCAATCTAAACCACTAATGGAAACGCAGAAGAACAAGTAAATAAGCATTACAAGCATAACGATCGAAAAATTAAATGAAACTATTTGGGAAAAGAACAACATTTCAAACCCGCTAGCCGTTAGGTGGTCCAAAGCAGTGATCACTAATAGAAAGAAGAAGCAAAGCCAAAGAAAAGTTGCAAAGAAAATTTTACTGGAAAAGTTGCCATACCTTTTCGTCTGACTGAACGTCACTGTCTATCCAAGCAAATGCTATGGGTTTTCCCAGGCGAACACTGTATGAAGCCGAAGTGATCTGACCAATTCGCTGAAATACGACTGATACCTGGCAGAAACATTTTCAAATACAAAAATTTGCTACCTCTTCATGCCCTTGACGGCGAACAACTTCGTGACCGGAAGGAATGTGTTCCCATTTCAGATGTACATCGGGATTATCCGAGGGATCAAAGGTAAGAAGGACGAGACGACGATCATATGTCTTCTTACTCTGCTCAATTACGGCTGATTTGCCGATGAAGTCTTCCTTATTGAGGTCGACGAGACCTATAAATAATTGACTTCTTTTGAAAACCTCATACTTAAAGTTGGAACCAATGGAGCCAATCTGCCCCACCTTCCAAACCACATTCATAAGGATTTGTATCCAAAGTAAGTTCTCGTCCCCAAACTTTGTATCCATGTTCGAGTCTCATTATGTTCCATGTATCCTGGCCAAAATTTACTATGCCATATGACGCACCGGCATCAAGTATCTCCTGTTAATGTGTCACGTTCTTGCGATAGTTATTCAAGCGAACCTACTTGATAAAGCTTCGCCGAATCAGCTCTGTCGTGGAACAACTCATAGCTGAGTTGCCCTGTCGACGTGGAGCTACGAACGCAAACAACCGAGATGGTACCAATACGTATATGACCAGCAGAATGTTGAGGGAAAGCTTCTTCAGAAACGTCACTTTTAGTGAGCTTTGCAAGTACCTAGAAGACTTTTCTTAGAAGCGTAACATAAATAAATTTCTTTCATTACCTCTCTGCTATTAGGACCCACAAGCGCGATAGAAGCGAGGTATTCCGAAACACAGTTGACCTGAACATCGAGCTTCTTTTCAGCGGCAGCTCGTCGAAGCCTATACATGTAAGAAATATAAAGAATACAATCGGAAAAAAGCAAAGAAATGACTCTTAAGAACTTTAAAAATGAAGTTGCCAGGCTAATTCTTTCTAGTGATGTATCCTACCAATAAATATCTCTGTTTTCTCTTTCCGGTTCCGTAAGCACTAGGAAATTAGATCGTTTGCTGTCATGATGGAAGATGTTCAATGGACCTAGTATGCGTCCTTGTCCGGTCAGCATCAAACCAGAACGGATCTTACCGAGCGCAGGAACCTGAAAAGCATCTAATGAGGATTACCCTTTCATTGTTCCAAAGTAAGCAGTGCCTCTTATTAATATACCATGGCCAGTGAAATACACTTCAGTTTCAGAAACATACGCTAACCCAAAACAAAGTAAGGAAAAAGGGTAAAAAGGGCGAGATCTGGGATGAAGTTAACCAAAGAATGGAAAATGGTAAAGAAACTAGGGTAAAAAAAGGAAAAGAGTGACGTCTTCGAACTTGCTTCCTGAAATGAATTTAAGAGAAGCTTCAAGTTGGGTCGCTAACATTAGGGACACAAAGTGGGTAGCAAATTTGAATCTGACCTTGACTGCCCTTGTAGATCAGCAGCTATAAAAATTATTTACCAGACTAATTATGCAAATGGCAAACGAAAAAAATTACCTACCCTTGAACATAGCGCATAATCCAAAAGAGCCTCGGCCCCCTCTCCTTTTACTTCGATTTTTCCTTTCCAAGACATGTCAATGACACCACATTTATTGGTTACCATTTGATGTTCACGACTCAAGGTAGCCAAAATTCCTTCGTCACCGATTCCAAATACTTGAGGGACCTACATTAGCAAAAGCATTGACACGCGCTGTGAACTTCAGAACAGCAGAAATAATCAAAACCTCCCATCCGTTTCTAAACAAAAATTCTCCTTTGTCCCTCTTAAGACGCCCATATATTCCACTGATTCGATCTGTGGGTCTGCCAGCTGGGCGATCAGAGTCAGACCAATTGTAGAACATTGAAAAGGTTTCTTTGCTTTTCTCCAAAATGAATCTAGAATTTTTCAAATAAGCATATTTTTAGGTGAATACATAGATACTTGACTGTTAGGTAAAAAGGGTTGGAAAAATACATTTAAACTGATAACCTAAAACCGTGCTGAATAACTACAGTTGAAATAACTCCAAATAATGCGGCCAGAAGGGCCTTTTTTCCTTTCTAGTAAAACCTTCTGTAAGAATCTAACAATTATGCTCACTCTCGAGTTGCCCATCTGTCGTATCTGTTGGCATCAGTGTCGCAAAATTCCATGGGAGGTTGACCATCAACCATCCAGTCAGCAATATATCTAGATTGAAAGGTATTGGCAAGTGAACACGACATTTCTGGTAATAACTTGCTCAGAGTGTTTTTAGTTAGAAATAATAGTCAAAATTAGCTCAATTGCCCAGAATATGAAGAGATATATAAGTGCAAGCATGGTAAAAATTACGCAACAACAGAAGTAATGTAAAGCTCACTTTCCTAGCCCACCACCACTAGTAACACCGTCCATAAAACCTGTTGCAACCCAATAGTTTTTATCAAACGGTCCCACCTAAATTCAAATCATGTAAGATAGGGCATAAAAGTCTTCACTAACAACGTACCAAAGGGTAGCCGTCTGGAGTCATACTTATTGCAGCTGCTTTCGGTGTTACTTTTGCTTCTCTAATACAAGGTATGAGTTTACAGGCTCGCGCATATGCCTCTTCAATGCGAGAAAAGTCAGGTTTGATAGCACGAGAGCCTTCTTAAAAAGAAAAGGATGAAATACAACCGAAGCTATTATTAACCAAAGAACAGTAAGCGATTATGTGTGATATTCATATGCAAAAATGAGCATATGAAAGATCTTACATTCAGAAATATTTACATAATCGTCATAAATTATCTCAAACCTGCCTAAACTATTGAATGAGCTATATATCGATTATTGTTGAAGAATGATATCTCATTTAAGAAATAGATTTTTCAAAAATGTTTAACATATGTAAAAGAAATTAAAAAAAGGAAAATACATAGTTTAGCAAAGCTTACCCAATGGAACTCCTTTCCGTAACCAGTCCTCCCTGATAACAACTTTATCGTAAGGATCAAATGCGCCAAAAAAGTAGCTATCACCGTTTTTGCGCAGGTAAAATGTGCTGTCATGGTCGGTTATGGCAGGCATATCAGGGATGGAGGCATCGGGCTGGAAAGGTCATACAAATGAAGACGAGAACAAATTTTATTAGCAACTACCGTCAGATCAGCAAATTGAGCTTCAACTATGACCATCGGCAATTCATGACCAGATAGACGAGCAATATCGTTCGCCCATATCCCTCCTGCGTTCACAATATTCCTCGTCGTCACATTCTCTCCGTTTGCTAATTCTATGTGCCACAAAGCTTTCTCCTGAGAATCTTACTTTGTTAAGAAGTCTGTGGGAAAAAGTAATTTAAACCTTGTCGTAGCTAATCTTTTTCGGCTCAGAATTTATTGATTGCAATCCTCCCTTCGTCGCTCCAGCAAACAAAGCTCTAGTCAGACCTTCTGCTGACAGGACACCATCGTTGGTGGTGTATAAAGCACCAAGGATCTGAAAAAAAAA